GTAACGTACGTTCTTCGTTACGTTTACGTTTTACGTTTTACGTTTAACGTTTAACGTTACGTTTAGTTCGTACTACGTACTAGTACGTACGTACGTCTCTCTCTCTCTCCTCTCTCTCTCTCTCTCTCTCTCTCTCTCTCTCTCTCTCTCTCTCTCTGTATGGTGTTCGTCTCTCTCTCTCTCTCTCTCTCTCTCACACACACACACACATTACTGTACTATTTAAGGATCCTTTCTAAACTCAGATTTTCCATTAAAATATAAAAGATTGGTAGTGAGCATCTTACACTAAAGGTTAGATGACGACCCAGACTAGACATTTTATGTTACAGGATGAGAATCGCTACAATGCTGGTAGAGGTGCCCATCTTACATTAAAACGTGCAGAGAAAGCTCGGGCAGCAGTTAGCAAGATCCCAGGTACTTTTCTCAGAGAGTGAGAGAGCTTTTTGATCATTTGTTTGCTCACCTTGCATCGATTAGCTATTGCCTTTGCTTCATGGGCTTTAACTATATTGTTTTGTGGAGCAGCCACGGTTGAAGCTTTGGTTGTCAAAACTACAGTGTGGGAAAGAGAAAGAGGGAAAGAATTCATGTATAATGGAGTAAGTGTTTCTAAATCTCTTTCATCTAAACTTTTTGGATCAGAGTGGAGCCAATGTGATCAAAATTCTGTATATTTACAAATAGGTTCGTCTACTCTCCATGCTCGAGGATTACAACATTTTAAGACAGGAGAAAGAGCAGGAGCGGAAAAGACAGCGGGTAAGCATATTGACATTTAGAGATTTATGTAATAAAGTAAGGGATGTATGCTGTAGTTTGAGGGGCTATGGAAAACATGGTATAGTAGGGTCATCACTGTTCAGGGATTAATGGATGGTGATGGAAGAGAATTAGATCCACCAGAGTTCGGGGGTGGGGGATGATGGGCTATAGAAAAACAGAATATATTAGGGTCATCACTGTTCATGTATGGTGATGGAAGAGAGTTAGAGCCGCCAGAAACAGTACAGACCCCATTGATGATGACATAAATGGAATATGCTGGTTTTACACCATTTAGAGTACTTTTCCATAAAAAGCAAATCTAAATTTGCAGGATCAAAAGAAACTTCAGGGGCAGCTAATAGCAGAGCAGGAGGCACTTTTTGGGTCGAAGCCAAGCCCTTCTAAAACTCCTAGTGCGAGAAAGCTTTCGAGAACATCCACTGGGTCCACAAATAGAAGGTTATCTCTTGGAGGACCTATGATGCACACTCAAACTCTTGATTTTCTTCCACCAACTAAGGCCTCTGCTCATGGAGCACGACAAACCAAAAAGGCAGAGCGCCCACATAGCTCTCATAATCACCATCAGGATGACAGTTTTGCTGCTCTTTCGGCAGGTTGGTTTTTCATAAGATGCTCTTGTTGTATCTTTTACTTTTACTTTTACTTTCAATACTACAGTCAACACTTAAAAAAGAAAAAAAAAAAAAAGAAGATGCTCTGTTCTATCATTATTTATATACGTTTATTTGTTGGGGAAGTTGTGCCGTAAGCATTCAAGTATTGTGTATGGTTCTCCATTTAGGAATCCTTGGCCTGTTTCTGATTGGTCGATGGTGGAGATTAATTGTACATGGGTGAATGACAAAGTAGGCGTCATTATGTTTAATATCCACCTCCTGTTATCAAGAATGGACATGTGATACCTCTTTGCGAAGTAGTGTCTAACATTCTGTTTACTTGATCTAGGAATCCATGGTAGTATATCATAAGCCATTCAAGTATGATGTATGATGATACTCAATTTAGGATCGATGGCCTATTCCTGGTTTGATGGTGGAGATAAACTCTATTATCGTATTCAAGTATGATGTATGATACTCAATTGGGTATGGTTTATGATACTCGTTTAGGAATCCACTTTTTTTTCCCGATTGGATAGTGAAAGACTCAGTAGGCATTATTGTGGTTAATATCCACATCCCTTTATTAGGAATATTCCATCTACTCGATCTTAGGAATCCATGGGTTTGTTCCTGAAAGGATAGTGGATATTAACTGTACCTGGGTGAATGATGGCAGAAGGCCTCATTATGGTTAATATCCCACCTTCCATTATCGGGAAATCAAGGTCTCTTCCTGATTGGACAGTGGAGATTAACCTTATCTTCCATTAACAGGAATTCATGGTCCCATCTTCCATTATCAGGAATTCATGGTCTCTTCTTGATTGGACAGTTATAATATTTATGGTTTATTATGTGTACGCAAGACATGACTATTTTCTCTGACAATGATTTTAAAGGGTCTGATCATTGTTTTCTTAGCTTCTTTTTTCATTGATAGATTTCTAGCATGTTTTCGCAAGACATGACTATTTTCTCTGACAATGATTTTAAAGGGTCTGATCATTGTTTTCTTGGCTTCTTTTTTCATTGATAGATTTCTAGCATGTTTTATTATCTTTCTGGCCCATTGTTGGTGATGGTTCTGTTACCATTGCCTCCTTTGCTAACGACTGGAGTAATCGTTGTCAAACACCCATCATTATATCTTGGAGAAATTCATGCTAATATCCCTCTAAATTACTGTTATTATAGGAAATCCCCCAAATAAAAAAAAAGTTTGATTTCATTTTCATACTCATTTTGTTTCACAAATTGGCCCCACTTCTATTTTGTTTCCCGAAGTGCCCATACTTCCAACCTTGAAGGACCGGAGTTTATTTATGTGTACGCAAGACATGACTATTTTCTCTGACAATGATTTTAAAGGGTCTGATCATTGTTTTCTTAGCTTCTTTTGTCATTGATAGATTTCTAGCATGTTTTATTATCTTTCTGGTCCATTGTTGGTGATGGTTCTGTTAACATTGCCTCCTCCTCTCCTTTGCTAACGACTGGAGTAATCGTTGTCAAACACCCATCATTATATCTTGGAGAAATTCATGCTAATATCCCTCTAAATTACTGTTATTATAGGAAATCCCCCAAATAAAAAAAAAGTTTGATTTCATTTTCATACTCATTTTGTTTAACAAATTGGCCCCACTTCCATTTTCTTTCCCAAAGTGCCCATACTTCCAACCTTGAAGGACCGGAGTTTAATCTTTTCTTACTCATAATCTTACTCTAGAACTTGGAGGTTTGAAGTTGTTCCAACATCAATTTCGGACGTTCTAAAGTTGATAATCACACCTTCAATGTTTGTAGTAAATTTATGAGCTTCAATTTGAGTTGATGTGTGGAATAACTTTGCATCTTGTAAGGTTTGAGGTAAGTTTTGATACAGATAAAAAGATTAAACTCCGGACCTTTCAAGGGGTAATTTGGGAAAAAGACAAAACTTTGAAAAAAGGGGCATGAACATAAATCAAAAGTTCTTGTATTTTATTTTATTTTATTTTATTTTATTTTATTTATTTTTTTTATGGGGCGGTTGGTGGGGTTTGTGTCATTTCTTAAATAGTGGTATTAGAGGATCGTTAGTGTAAAGTACTCAGTTGACATATTTCTTTTAAATGAATGATTTGAGCACTAAAGTATTCTTTCTCAATTTTTTCTTTTGTATTGAACTTCCATGAATGTTTCATTTCTTTATCCCTTTTTCTCTTCAACTTTTATTTCTTTTCTAAATGTTTCAAATTTAGATTTTTTTGCAACTGGCATTTATGGAACTATTTTTTCCTCGTATTTTTTTCTTCTTATTCTTCTTCTTCTTTGTCATCATCTTCTTCTTACTTTTTAATCATACTCTTCTTAGTATTGTCCCCTGAAAAGTAACATTACTTTGAATAATCATGCAGGTAGGAGAGGTCTCGATATTGCAGGCCTACCAGCAAGGAAACAGTCTCTTTATTCCACCAACAATCCTGAACCTGAAACTCCCTCAACACAAAGGAAACCATTTTCACCAGTCTCTACAAAGCCCAACACGGCTTCTAACTCACTCTTAGATGATCATGTTAAATTACAGAACATAAATTTTGCCAAAAATGCTCCAATTAAGACCACGAACTTGCCCTCTACCCCATCAACCAATAAACACCAAATCTCAGCCACTGACGAAGAAAACAGGACCCCTCAGTCCATTGCTGTGCCTTTCCTAAACACCCCATCTTCAGTTTCAATGCCCATGCAAACTGCAATGACCCCAATGCATATGGTTTCGGCTACACCAGCCGCTCTTTTTGGCCATGTTCAGAGGTCACCGGCTGAGATTGAGTACTCGTTTGAGGAGAGAAGAGCTGGTTTTGTGTATTGCCAATAGTCAAGTGTGTTGAACTTTGTTCTAATCTTGGGCTGGTTTAATGTTTCTTTGGTTATGAGCCAATTGGAGATGGCTCTTTTGTTGTTGGTTTCTTGTACAGGCGCAGTGGACCTTGGGTGGAAGCTTTTCCATCATTTTTTTGGTTATGTTCCTGGTGTTCTTATATCATGGTCATGATTCTATTATATGGACATGGGCATGATTGGAAAATTACTCTCTTCTACCCAACTTGCGCAAATTAAATTAAAGTAAGGGTGTGGTATGCATAAGGCACGCACCTTCGAATTTTATCATAATTGTAATTTTGGTGTCAAAAAGATCTTAAGATGAATTGATGATCTATTTTTATCTCTAATTATAAAATTTTAAATTCAAAAAATGATTCAAATCAAGTAGATCTTGAAAATGGATGGTTAAGAAAATATGTTGCGAGAAACATTATTTGGGACTCGAAAGCTATTGTCCTTTTCATATTCATACATCTCAATATCGTGCTGATCAATTATAGGCTTTTCAACAACAAAGTAACCATTGATGATACATTTTTAAGGTGCACTTTAATTCTACATTTTAAGGTTGCTACTATACGTTAATAGTATATAAAAAAAAGGTTTTGACCTTATAAACTTTTTCTATTAAAGAAACCTACCTTGGACAAATTTTGTGGAGTTTTAGAGATATTTTTCTCCATTCTCATCCCTTTTTTTAAAAAAGAGAAATATGGAAAATTTTGTATAGAACCGTTTTTCTTTCAAGCGGCATAAAAAACCTTGAAGATTTCATCATATCCATCTCTTATCTCCTTCTTTTATTTACTTTTGATCATAAAAATTAGGCCTAACAAAATTTTTTATACCATTTCAACTCAAAAACTTTTTTAATAGGTTAAAAGGCAAAAAAAAAAAAAGAATGTAAAAAGATTTGTTGAGCTAATTTTTATAGTCAAAAGTCAATAAAAGAGGGAGATAAAAAATGAGGGGGTACGGTGAAATTTTTAGGGATTTTCTTATGCAGTTTGAAAGAAAAACGAAAAGAAGGTCTACCATAAAATATTATGAAGAATTAGGGTTCTATACGAAATTTTTCAAAAAAAAAGGAAAATTTCTTGTGCTATTCATTCTTCAGCCCTATTATTTATCTTTTTCTTTTTAAAATATGTCCTTACATTCCTATCTTTACCCTAGTTCTTGATTTTGTATTTTCTGATATGAGTTTCATTCTTTTTAGACATTATATTTTATGCATTTTTTTTTGAAATATGCAGGGTGCTCTTCGATAAATTTGCTTCTTTGTAAAAGTGGAAGTGCCATGCTATTTTGGAAACTTTGACTTCCCATGGCTGCCAAGAAAGCGATGAAATTTGTTGATTTGGGGAAGCCTCAACTTCCGAGCAACCCTATAGAAGTCTTGGCATTGGAACTTGGTGGAACGGTGGTTGCCTCCTTTTTCTTTTTTTTATTTCTTTTTTTTATTATATTTATTTTTTTATTTATTTATTTAAGGGAGCATAGAAAGATTGGCTTTGGCAGCCCCTTCTTCCCTATATAAAAATGAAAACATGTCACTCACTGATTTTTGCAATTCGGAAAGCAGTTTCAGATGGATGTCTATAGAAGTCTTGGCATTGGACCTTGGTGGAAAGGTGGTTGCTTCTTTTTATTTATTTATTTATTTATTTAATTTTTAGGATAGCGTGGAAAGCTTCTTCCCTATATAAAAATGAAAACATGTCACTCACTGATTCTTGAAATTCGGAAAGCAGTTTCAGATCGATGTCTTCAACTCTGATTCTTGAAATTCGGAAAGCAGTTTCAGATCGATGTCTTCAACTCTGGTTTGGAAAAAAGCCGGTTTTCTAGTTGGTCTTTACCTCACAAAAGCCTGTGCCTGAACAATTCTAGTTTTGAATTGGTGCACAAAAAAGCACCAGAACTAGTAGTTTGTAATCAACAATAAATTTGGAAATTTAAAATTGAAAGGATTATAAAACTAATTTTTTATTTTAAAACTTGTAATTAGATTGGAAAGTTTTGACATATTGAAAAAGAAAACAAAATGGACATTATTTTTTAGAAAAAGTTTATATAAGGTTGCAACATTAAAAAGAAGAATTAAAGATGTACCTCAAAAATCCATCAAAAAATGTTGTTTTAATGTTGAATTATCTTGACATCGAGATGTATGAATATGAAAAAAAGAAAAAAAAAATGATTTCAATTCCTAAAAATAGTACATCTTGCAACACATTATCTAGACCATCCATTTTCAAGGTTTTCATATGTTTATAGATCTACTTGATTTTAACTATTTCTGAATTTAAAATTTTATAATTAGATATGAAAATAGATTCTCAGATAATCTTAAAAAAAATTTAAAACAAAATTACATATTAGGATAATTTGGAAGTGAGCCTTCATTGAATTGTTTAAGGTTAAAAACGTTATGGAAACCACACCATTATTTTTAAGAACTAGGTCTAAAAAGATCCACATGTGAGAACAAATTAAACAAAATAAACAGATCAATGAAGGGGATTGAATCTTTTTTCTGACGTGGCGGTAGAGGGAAAGAGATTGAGTATTGGTTGTTTTCGTAGGTAGAGAGAAAGACTACCATTAAATATTTGTTAAATGGGAGGATATCTTAAGCGTAACAATTTTATTTGTATAATATTTACCTAACAACGTCAGTCTATTTTTTTTGGGTGGTTTGCCCCAAAAAATGAGGCCTGCTGACTCAACACCGTCCAACGTTTAAGTAGGGGTCGCAATGGACCCGAGACCCGGGTAGACCCGCCCTCGGGTTTGGGTATGGGTCCAAGTTTGGAACCCAAAAGGTTGAGTTTGGTTCAAAACCTATAACTGACCCAAATAATATGGGTATATGTAGGTATTCATATATCTTGCCAATACGTTTGCTTTTTAGAAATTTCCAATTCTTACATAAAACAGTGAAGAATGTGCGTATATGTGGATGGGTATTCATAAATATTGTCAATACCTTTGTTTTTTAGGAATTTTCAATTATCGCGTAAAACAATAAAGAATGTGGGTGTATGTGGTATTCATAAATGTTGCCAATAATATAGGTATATGATGGTAAAAAAAAAGAATAAAAAAAAAAAGAAACAAGCTCATAATCATAGGGTGGCAATGGACCCAACCAAATCTGGGACCCAACGGGTAGACCCAACCTCAGGTCCGGGTATGAGTCCAAGTTTTGGACCCAAAAGGTCAGGTCTGGGTCCAAAACTTGGACTTGTACCACCCCTACCTTTTAAGATGGACATATTTTAAATGTTGGAAATTATTTTTTTCATAATCATGATCATCTTAGCCTAGATTATGAATCCTTAAATTTTGGACTAAAAGTCAAACCTTTAGGATAGATTTGAGAGGGGGCGGCATATGTAAAATATCATTCGGCTGACTCATGAAAGCCCCATCCTTAAAATAACATATTTTTGTTTGCATTTTTTTGGAGGTAGGGGGAAAGAGAAGTAGGGGTATTGTTCTATATTCCTTTCCCTTGAACAACTATGGGTATTTTTTTAATTTGGCTCCAGCCTTAGAGTGAATCATACCTCTAGTTGTTCAGTATTCTCAACTCTGAATGACAATAATTTGGGATTTTTTTGTTTTTCTTTTTTAAGACACAAACGAGGATTGCTCAACTCCTTTAATGATATTGTAAGATAATTTAAGCCCTTTAATTGTATTTTTAATTTTTTTAATAAGATTATACACTCGAGTAAGGACAAAATGTACATTGCTCAGCAAAACACTAGCCAAGAGTACTTTCCAAATCCCAAATTTTTGGGGGAGATTGTAGATAAACTCCCTAGGTAAAAGACTTTCTTTTCCTTTTTTTTTTCTTTTTTTTTAATGTGAAAATTTTGGATATATATTAGAATCATGATTCCCAAATGAAAAATAAAAATGGATTTTTGAATTCCAAAAAATTTAGTTCTAAACATCCAAAAATTGGATTATTAATATGTGGATATTGTTTTTGGAAAAAGTTTATATAAGGTTGTGGCCTTAAATTGTAGAATTAAGGTGCGCCTAGAAAATCTATTGTAAAAGGCTGTTTTAAAGTTGGAAAACCTTCAATTTGAAAAATGCACACACACATTACTTAGAAGGTTTTTCTTGATCCACATAGAATCACTAGATGAGTATTTTTTATTTTTAAAAAAAAATAAACTCTTAGAATTGTGTGCGTGTGTTAAGATCTATTCATATTTGAATAGATCAACCCCTATATCAGAATTCAGTTAATCTCACTTGTATATCGTATTTAAGAACAAGTTTGCAGTGTCAGATCGGAGGGATTTTCATTCGAAGATCTCTCTGATTTTACGCTATAAATATATGTGCTTCCATGTGAGCATATTATACACTTGTTCCTCACCTCAAGAGCCAACTGGATGATTTGTATTTGAAAGTTTGCAATCATCTTCGGTTGTTAGGCTTTTATGAGCTCAATATTATTTTGTATGTTTTAAAGAGTGTTCTAAAATTGAACCAAAGTTAATGACATTGAAAAAGAGTTTGAGGTTCATCAAAGGTAATGATAATATATTTAATTTTGAGGTTATAAGAACTTTTTTTTCTTTTGGGTATTTGGGTAAATCAGTGGGTAAGAAGGCCCCTACTCGATTTTCATTACCAAGGAAAAGAAGCAATGTCAACTCATACCCTATTGTAGGAAGAATAGTAAAATCAGGTGGTCTCGTGCACAAAATGGTGGCATCAAAGGCGTGATTTTCTTGGCAAGAGTACCGGCCACCATGTTGGCTTCGTGGAAAATGTGTGAAAAGGATCATGCCCAAGCGATGAGCTTACGACAGCAGTTGGCAGCTACAATGTGGAGTGACCATGGCGCGTTACATCGGCAATGAATAACTTCAACTAGTAGGGACGAGTTGTTCTCGATATGTAGTGGAAAACAATCAAGTTGTATGGCTTGTAAAGAACCTCAGGTTTCTCTTCAAAACATGACTCGGAGACAGATCAGAGAGTCGAAATACGACTCGACAGAAGTTGTACCGATTAGGTAAGCAACAGACTCGTCTTGAACCTTTTTTTGGATACCATGTGAAGAGTCTAATGTTTCTCTGAAAAGATTCATTGTCCATTAATCATGTGAATATACATACTTGTCTTTTATAAACAAATTACAGATGACACTAATAGAAACTAAATATTGGAC